TGAGACATGGGGGAGCAACTAGAGTAGTCACAGATGACTGGTAGTTGATCTCTGCTGTCAAGACTTTGCCACTGCTGTTGTAGTGCAGCAACTCATAAAAACTAGCTATACTTACCATCTTTCAGCTTCTATAGAGTTAACTGTTTTCACATGGGGAAGCATGTGTGCTAAATTAAGGAGGTGTAATTTCAAAAGAAAAAGAGGAGGAAGGGGATATTAAGAAATTTTTGAGTCTTACAAGTTTGGTAAATTTAAAATTATTAATTAAGTGCTATAGGAGATAGTTTTCAACTGTGTTCTTTTAGCTGATACTAGGCCCTTTCTTTGTTTTGGTGTTTTTCTTCCCTGACTCCTGTACTGTTATACCTTGTTTGCTACCATCGCTCATTCACTGGAACCAGCTTTGAAAGCTTTGAGCCTTCATCCTGAAGGGATTGCTGCTGCCTTTTACTAGCAAGTTGTTTTGTTTTGCTTTGAGATCTTAATCACACAACGTTAGAAACAGTGGTTGTACCTAGTCAGTGCTGATCAAAACATGAGGGCTTCTTGAACTGGTAACGCATTGTTTGTGAACCACGGTTAGCGACAATAAATATATATATGTAGGCAAGACTAATATTGACAACTGTTTTGAATTGGGAAGCTTGGAGGTAACCTTCAGAACCTCAGTAGATAATTTTGTATAACAAACTTGCAGTCTTGGTAGTGTGTTATAGCTAAATATGGTGCAACAAATCTATTAAAAATGTTTGTGAGTAAACATGTCTGAAAGTTATAGAAGTGTTTGTAGGATTTATTAAGTGCAGCAGGTAAATAAATACATGAGGCTGATGGGAGTTCTAGAGTTTCTGGAAGTTACCAGTTGTTCCTGTTCAGCATTGAATGTAAGATTACTTTTATACCTATGATGCTTATTACTGAGTGCTCAGTGTCCAGTGAAGGAAGCAGTCATAGAATCATAGAATGGTAAGGGTTGGAAGAGACCTTAAAGATCATCTGGTTCCAACC